TGAGTCCACCACCTCTGTTTAAAGTTGGTTTTTCTCTCTTAACATAGATGGCTTCCTTCACGCCCCTCTCAAACCACCTATTTTCTTTATCCAGAATATGGACATTCTGGTCCTCAAAAGAATGTCCTTTGTCCATAAGGTGTAGGTGTACTGCGGAGTCTTGTCCAGAGGCGGCCGCTCTTCTGTGTTGGGCCATGCGTCTGTGGAGAGGTTGTTTTGTTTCGCCAATATAAAGATCAGAGCATTCCTCGCTGCACACACACATATACACACACATTTTGCATTTAAGATAAAAACGAAACACTTCAGTTTCACCTGGTTTAATTTCGTAAAAAATCTTCTTTAAGGAACTTTTGCTGTCCGATTATTAATCAATTAATCGAAAAAACAATCGACAGATTAATAGATTTGCAAAATAATAGTTAGTTGCAGCCCTAGATTAGATTCCAATAATACAATGCTTTAATTCTGTATCCGATTATTAATAAAAAACATGACCAAATTAATCTATAAGCAAAATATCATTTGTTAGAAACACACACTTTAAAATACAACTCAAGTGTAGCACTATACAATATTTTAGTTAAAGCTGTTCCCTCTCGTCCATTAGTAATGACAGCTAAAATATCAAATTAAATAGTTTAGGGTTTTGTTTTGAAGTAAATACAACTATATTGTATTATTTTCATTGCAGAAAAGAGTATTTATATCCTTTATTAGGTGGGAAATTGTTGAAGCAAGAAGGGAAATAAAAAAAGCCAACAAAAATACTATTTTTAGAGTATAAATACTTTTAATGAAAAAAACCTAACATTAACATTTAAACATTTAAATACAGAAACTTAACTTCAAGAATTCTAAACTACCAAGTCTAGTAAATATAGCTGAATAAATATTATGTATAAACAGATAATCATATTGTGAAATGCACATAGCAGTCCATGCTTGGAATTTATTTAGCTAAAAAGGTCAAACAGATGTTGCACAAATACACTATATTGAGCTTTCCTGCATAGTAACTATGACAATTGTTTCCTGGTTCAATAAACATAATAACAACTAAAAGCCATGTTTGGATCTAAAAATAACATATTGCCTTTAATAGGATCATTCTTGTAGAGGCTCTTAGTGCTGGAAAAGGATGACTCTTTCCGGAGCATGGCTAATGGCATGGTGCTCATCACTAAGACATCTGCAGCTGAAACTACAGTTGGTTTGCCCATTCAGTTCAGAGATTACCTCATCAATGAGTCTGGGAGGAAGAGGGTGTAATAGTTTGGAGGATGACTCACAGTCTGTCCATGGTAATACACTGGCAGGCTCAGGATTAACATGAACACCCTTTGTAAACTCCAAACCTGGGGAAGCTCACCACACTTCTTCAGAATATCTTTTTAACTGGTTTCCATTAAAGTAAATATTCCAATTTTACTTTAGCTATGGGATTTTTTTTAACTCAAAGCTCACTGAAAGCTCTGAACTGATTATAGAACAGTGATCTAATAAATTATCAATTGAGTCCAATTAGGATTCAGTGTTACTTCCTCTGTTAAAGACCATACAGTTGTTTTATAAGAGTTATATTTATGAAGGGGGGAAAAAAACATAAGATATGGTCAAAATGAGAACAGGCAGGTCAAAAGGGCACAACTGGTCAGGAAAAAATATGATTTGGTAGAACTACAAAATGTCAAGGCTCCATCAGTGACAGAAAACACTAAGAACGACATTTTATAGTAAACTGAATTAGCACACCAAGAAACAAAATACTCGTTAAATTTAAAAACAAACTCAGAAAAAAAAAGGTTAAAAAAGAATTCCACTTATTAATTAGAAAGATAACCATGGACATCATCTTCTGCAATTAAATGACTGACAAAATAACGCATTTCTGGGTTTTTTGTGCCTTTGGAAGCACTGCGTACACCTAAATATAAGATCATATAATAGTAAACACTTTTATTCAAGTGGATAAACCTAGAATAGAAGAAATATCCAGCGAGAGGAACCTAGAATAGAAAAAATATCCAGTGAGAGGAACCAGAAGCTGCTTCTTTCCCCCGTTACTTTGGATGGTAGTTTGCTCATAACTGAGCACTGTCTGAATGGAGATCATTATTTATCTCAGCTATTTACACCAGCTGGTGCAACGTGTTTGCTTTAATAAACGCTTTGATTCATAGATTAACTGATTGATTTGCCGTGTCCAAACCTGGACAGTTGTCACCATAGCTTCGGTTAGCTTCTGCTGTTAGCCGGAGGATTGAGGCAGCAGCGTGCTACCGCACCGCCGGCCGGGGCATTTAACGGTGTCTGGCCCGAGGCATAATGTGATATGATACGGCGGAGGAATCAACAAAGAGCAAACGCTTTGAGCCCCATTACAACCAATTTGTCAGTAAAAGCCACAACACCGCATTCAAGTCCTCGCCTGTCTCCCTCAATCGCTCCTCATTTTTAGTAATCCTAACCGCTTTCTTTATCCACAGAAGCTAGCTACCATTAACATTAGCTCACATTAGCTTTCTGTCGCTAAACAGCCGAGAAGCAGTCCAAGCAGCGGCGGTCAGTGGTGTTCAATTAAATAGAACCTTACTGTGCTCTCGGTAGCTCTGGGGTCCTTATTTTCAGTTCATTCATCAGCAGCAGACAGACTAAACGGTGCTCCGCTGTAGGATACAAAACGACGGTGAAGAAAAAGATTTGTGGTGCACGCCCTTCACGCAGACGATTGGAGTCCACACTCTGGGTAACTGATGCTCGACGACGATTGGTTAGCTGTGAAGCTCGAGGTTATCGAAGATTGAGCTGATTGGTTTAAACGTCAGCCTGACGTTTCTCGAGAGCGTGCTGTGTGCGCGTTCCGTTTCGAGAACGACGCCGCGGGAACTGAATCCCGTCTAGACATAAGAAAAACATGTTCTTATCCAGTCTATTGTGATCTGCTGTTAATACGAACAATGGAGCAACTCTTGGTTAGAGCTATTTCAATTGTATATTTCCAATGAAATTGACCTCGTCTCATTGTGTTAATATAGGAAATGATTTAAACATAAATTACAAGGGTAATAAAAATAAAGTTTTATTTTTTCATAACTATTTATCTATCTATCTATCTATCTATCTATCTATCTATCTATCTATCTATCTATCTATCTATCTATCTATCTATCTATCTATTCATACATACATATATACATACATATATATCTATATATAGATCTATCTATATATAGATCTATATATATAGATAGAGAGAGAGAGGAGGCAGATGTATCCTTTATTTTTTACAAAGGGAAATCCTTTGTGTCATTTTCAATTTCAAATTATTTTCCAAAGCCTTGTTATCTTTTAGATTGGGTTTCACATTAGGGCCATTTCTCTCACATACTTCAGGATATTTTCCTTCTTAACCTGGATGGTGGCTTGGCACTCACTAGTCGTCTGCCGTCCTCCATGCAGAGCCAGGATGTTGAACTTTGAGTAAAACCCATCATATCATGTATAGTGAAACGGCCAGGGTTTATTTGCTGATTTCTTAGCATTTAGCTGACCTTTGCTTACTTGCTGCAGTTTCTTAATTTACATGTGACCCTATCAGGGTGTCCATTCACATCCGGTATGTTGAGCCTTTGCAATATTCATTTCTGGTCGTTAAGCTTTTTCTGTTAAAATCATCTTACATGTCTCATTTAGTCACACTTATAGAATCAGATTAAAATTATATTCCAATGTACAAGTTGTATATCCTGTTTGTTGGATCGCTTATTTAAATACATCCTGATGTCATCAATGTCAAGTGTGATGCTTCAACAAGTAGGTTTCCTTATTACCTGGCCTTGGTAAAAAGTCACAATCATTCATTAATGATTATATCAGATCAGTGGTCCATGAATTCAACTTGTCCATTGTCCGATGGTGGGCATATGTATACTAACCCCAAGCTATGCAAGGCCTCAGTCCTTAGTGCAGCTGTCCCAGGTTTGAGTCCCCCCCTCACTGACCTTAGCTGCATGTAAAATTAATATTATTATAAACCTAGATTCAATAAAAGGTGTAAGTAAGTACCCTTTTAATATAGCTAACTGAATTCAGGAAACTATTATTCAAAAATAGCTCTATCAAAGGATACATTTTTACCCTTTATATATAGAATGACCAACTGTGCCTGAGTAACATTTTCCCAAATTTGAGCATTTAATTTAATTAATTCAGACAGTTTGTTTGTTTCTTATATCTTAGTAGGGAATAAATTGGTGTTCAGCGTAGCAAACAGCAACTTCAGTAACAATTTCAGTCCAGCTAGCTTTTAATTATATATAGATATATAAACTGAAACAGATGCACTAAATGAGAGTGGCCACCGTTTCCCTGTTCTATTGAGGAACTTTTTTAAGACAATGTAATAAACCTTTATTGACCTATAAGGCATTCTAGTTTTTTATGCATTATTTCTCTGCAGTAGAGCGGACTCCAGGATTTAATAAGTTAAACTGGTCTTTCATTGCTCCTTCAGCAGAACACATTTTCTATTGTGCAGTTCCAGTCATTCATCCATCTTCTACTGTTTGTTCATCAGGGTCCCAGGGGTCTGGTGCCTACCTCCAGCAGTCTATGGGCAGAAGTTGGGTTACACCCTGGACAGGTCCATCGCAGGGTAACAAAGAGACACACAACCATGCACGCACAAACCCCCACACACAAACCCCAGGGCAGTTTCGATCATATTTTTGGAGTGAGGTTGAAGGCTGGGGTACCTGGAGAAAGTTCACACATGTATGTGGAGAACATTCAGCTTCATGCAGGACAGGAATGAAACCTAGGACCTTGTTTCTGCATGGCAACAAACTACAAACTGCACTGCTGTGTAGCCTTATTTCTTTCTCTTTTATTTATCAACTATTTAAATAACAAGTTACTGGGTAAATTACTAAATGCTAGTTCATTTTTTTTTTCCTGGGGCAAATTCACTCAAACAGCCTCCTATAATTGGTACTCACTTGAGTTGGAGCTGTAGCTGAAGCCTACAGTGGTGGGTGGGGGTGTCTCCGAATCCACAGAAGCAGTGTCTTCATCCTGTGAACAACCTGCCTGGATTGCCCGCAGGTAACTGTGACTGCGAGAACGGAAGCACGTGGGTGCAGGCAGATCCAGAGCCTCGACTGCCTTTGATTCCCCCTCACAGTATGGTAATGAGTGTCCACAGCCCTGAGCGAATACCTGAAAGAACGTGTGCAGACTGACGCACTGAGTTCAGACCCATAAACACACATTGACAGATCTATGCTCACATGGGGACGGTGTCAGTGAAAAAAAAAATCCTTTATTGTAATAAGTGAAGCAGAATCAGCATGTGACATAGGGAAGCTTCACCCTTTTCATATTTGCAGTTAAATAGAGTTTATAATTTAAGCTTGATTTCAAAGTTTATATTGGTGAAATAAAAATATATGGTTCTGAAGATATGACTCATTCCTTTATTAGCATGAGTCAAAAACAAATCTAAGAGTTCAGTATAAAACTAATGAAGAACAGAACCGATAAACTCTTAAACACATAATATCTTTAAACTACTTCCCGTTGCTAAAAGTCAATATCTAAGCTCAACTTGGTGTGGTCTATTTAATATAGATTAAACTGTCTCACATTTAAAATGTGATAGGAAAATGCAGAGCTTTTAAAAAGAGGTTTTGATATGAAATTTAAGCAAGTTTTAAAACGTAAAATTTGAATTTTACAGGGATTTAAATACTATTTATTAAGGAAAGAGGTAGTGCTACATTGATAAGTTTCCTATGTGAAACACAGTGCAGTGGAACATGTAAATGATTTCTGGTCAAAATAGTTGTCTGATAAAAGAAATAAACAGGTAGAGCAGAGTATAATGCAAATATATTTGAGCAGTTTGGGTGAATCTTTATAACAGAAAGTTACTCTGACTGGAAATTCTCTACATGTTCTGTTCGTAGTATGCATTTTACTGAGATACGTGTTAATGCGCTTCCAATTTCTTTTAGATTCTATGTAAATATCCCATCAATTGAAACTGAGAAAGGCTAAAAGCTTCATAATGTAACATTAGCATGAAACACGATGGCATTTTTAAATTTAAGCTTGTTTTTAAGATCCAAAAAGTCTACTTCAGTCCTTAGTCTCCCAAAAGTAGCTGATTTGCAAAATTAATACATGATGAGACCTATCTGGGTGCTGAAAGATATTAGCCTACTTACTGCATTTGAATAATTGAAATAATTTGTTTAACTCAAAATAAAATCAGTTACTTTGTTCTCAGTCAGGGTAAAGATTGAAAATAAGTACAATTTCATTTTATGATCTATTAATAGATTTTGTTTTATAACGACAATGAAATGAATATCTAGGTGGCTTATAGCTAAGGCTTGAAAAATATAATTTCCATCATAAGTTGTGGAGTCAATGGAGCAAATACACATGATCTTTACTCAAACAGAAAAAAAAAAATCTATACTTGAAATGACTTTACCTTCATCTCAGGAGAAGCTGATTCTCTCAGTCATTGCTTGGTTTATGTAAAACATGTCCAAATATAGTAACATCTTTTGTTCTCTGCTTTTCTATTTTTATTTCAGCTGATCACGGTGGGCTGTGTAGCATCCAAGCCAAATTCGGGATGAAGTTCTACAACAGGCTCTCTATCTAGCGCTATCTAGTTAATACATTTTGACAGTATGCAATCTCTCGGAGCACTTTTACAATTAGAGCAAATATAAAATGTGCAGGAAACCTATTCATACAACTTTAACACTTTTGTTTTGACACAATATGATCACAGCTTTCAAAATACTGTATGTTCATTTTATGCACAAGAACAAAACAAAGTAATGCAGACCTTTGAAGTGTGAGGTCACATGAAAATTTTTTAGTTTTTGATTTTGAAAAATGCGGCATGCATTTGTGTTATCACCCTGAGGCAACACTTTGTAGAACCACCTTTTGCAGCAGTTAGTAATGGTTTATGCTTCCATTTGAAAAACTTTGAAACTGAAATATTTTCCTGTTTTACTTATCAGAACGTTTTCAAGTACCGTACCTCTCCAGTCTTTTGCAGATGCTAACTTGTGTCATTTTCCATTATCTCCATAATATATGCCCTGTCCCCTCTAATAAAAGCATCCCCACATCAGCAGTTAGAGCAGTTTCCTTAGGGTAAAGTTTGCTGTCAGTTTTGTAGAACAACATATTCTACAATATTAATATTATTATGCAACATTTAAGATTCTGAATATTTCCAAAAAATACCATTTATCTAATTACCTAGAAACATCCATTTAAACATTTTGGATGACTGGATGAAATGCAAACTTCAAACTTATAATTACTCAGACATCTTACTTTCTAAGCAGGTACTGGGGGGAGATAATGTCCAAGAGTGCAACACATTTGTTTGGATTTCAGACCTACCTGAGTGCCTAAGCCTCTGCCCAGTGTGCCGGAGCATTGGTTGAAATCATTGTTCCTGTGACGTGGAGGAGGCTCCAGGGGGCTGACCAGGCAGTCCAGGTTATCAAGGCTCCGATTTGTGGACAGCTCTTTGAGGGACGGCAGGGAGCTGTGGGTAGGGAATCATGATTTTAGCATATTGTGAGTCTGAGAGTAGAAGAAGTGTAGGTTTTATTTAATTGATGATACGCAGGGAATATATTTTAATTCAGGCTCTGAGTAAAAAATACTTGTGATTTAAAAGGTTAAATATGCTGAAATATGTGGATGGATATTGTAGTTGCATATACATAGCAGCACAGAGGAAACAAAAATCTGTAAGCAGGCCAGTTAAGAGTTTCACAATGCTTTCTTTCATATTTTCTTAGAAATCAGTTTCCTCTGTCCTGGGCTTGCAAGGTTGGTCAGTGCTGTTAGTGACAATGTGTGCACTAAGCAACAGTGGGCACTGAAGTCATTTACATGAAGCTAATTTCCATGTTATGACATCAAGGTCTTGAGGAAGCAAGTTAAAAGTTTGGACCAACATGTGGTGCAAGGTACCTGCAAGGTGAGAGATGGCACAGGGTTATCGAGAACCAAAAATACCACAATGGAGAAGTTGTTTTAATGATCACATTTCATAAACTTGAAATACAAAACATTTATTCATGTAAATTTTTAACATATCTGTATAAATGATTAAAAAAATGATAAAACTGATGTAAGAATGTTTATTTTGTTGCTACAGCTGAAATAATGAATCATGTTTTTGTTTTTTTTTATTGATGCAAGTTTATTTGAACAACTTTTCAATTGATTCCCAATATTTATTCTTTTCAATTATATGAGTAATATAAGCAGCCAGTTCATAATTTATTAATTAATCATTTTAACCGAGTCATTTCGTCTTGAGTATAACATAGATACTTAGTTTTTTTCATAATAGAACATATGTTTTATTTGACCATATATATTTTTATTAAACATATATATTGTGTTTACTTATTGCACTGTGGCACTTTTGGGTCTCTTGTGGCACTAAGAGGAAAAATATTAGGCAAGTGTGGGCAAAAGGCAGGTGGTGGGGAGTAGAGGTAGGGCAGGTGTGGGTGGAGGGAAGGCCACACTCCCTGCATGTGAATCACACTGACCTCAGATGCTGCATAGAGCATGCACTCTGCAGAGGAGACCACAGAAAATCCTCCCGCATGAGAGCGTAGCAGCGGGACCTGTCCATGTGGGTGTGGGAGTAGAGGACATGGCAGAAATTCACCTGCTATTCCTCTTTCCACCAAATACAGAGCGATGCTGTCCCTTCCCCTATTATCTAACCATTCTGCATCTTTTAAATAATGGGATAATAATGGGACGTTTATTTGTGAAGAGATGCTGCCACCTGCTGTCTAATTATGAGAAAACAATGTTAACAAAATCATATAAAGCCAAATTATATTTTCATGAATTTTAATTCGAAATAATGAAATTAAACTGGGTCAAAACATAAAGCTATGTGGTGAGTATTTGGCGACTGCAAAAGCTGCTCACTTGCGAGGGGGTGGCGGTGGCTGCTGCTCGCTCAGGGAGGACTGGGTGGCCTTCAGGTAGCTCTGGCGACGTGCTGCAGACTTTGGGGAAGGCTTGGGGCTTCCCTCGGATTCCTCGCTGTCTTCTGGATCTCCCATGGCTTTCACATAGCTGCCACTACGCATCCTTCGGCATGGGATCTCTGTTCCCTTGGATCTTCCATGTCCCAAACTTCCCGTCCAGTCATCCAGGGGAACCTAGATAACAGTGACAAATTACTTGCATGTTTTTCTTATTCAAACAATGTGGGGTTTTGCTCTTTTTTTCAGATATTTACTACATTAATTTCTAAATGATATCAAATGAAGCAACAATAGTGCTAAAATAGATATAGTAATGGATATTAGACAACCCTTGTCTTTTTTATAGCTTGTTCTAAAGGTATATTAAAAAAGAATGGAATGGACAAAAATAGTAAACAAGGGTCGTCTAATAGTTCTCATCATGACTGTATGATGGCAAGAGTCGAAGTTGAAACTTGCAACATGTATATGCAAACTTTCCTACAAGACCGTATGAACAATGAATTCAGTAGGGAATTAAACATTTTGGTTGACAAAATTAAAAATTGGACAGCTACCTGAAGAAATTGCTGTGCCAGATCCTGGTGGCATGACTTTGTCTTTAGCAGGGTCCTGTTGACTGTACCAGAGCCTTTTTGCAACACTTGCCTGGCCTGGTTTAAGGTGAGAGTGGACCAGGTGCCCCTTTTGACCGCCATGTCATCCTTACTCCCAATGTTTCTTAGCTCCTCTTCCTTGGGTCCAACCTGCATTGCCGGGCATGCCAGGAACTTGAGGTCACTGCTGCTTTTTGAGGTTTTGAGAGAATGTGTATAAATTGTATTATAGCCCTGTGGAATATGTCGGAGAGCAGTCTGGCTGTCTGACACTGCTCTGCCAAGAGTCATCATGCTCAGTGGGTTGCGGTAACCTACAGCAATAGTGCCAGCTTTGGTGTCAGTGTCCAGAGCATCATCTGAGCCCCAAAGGCCTAGTGTAGTAGGTCTAGGTCTTTGTTTTGATCCCTCAGTCTTAGCTCTGTCCTTGCTCTTGCTCCTGCGGCTTGGCCTGCCACTTTCCTCGCCACTTCCTGTTGAATTTAAGCTGCCTTTCTGCCCAGAGTTCTCTAGAGACTGAGACTTGGCAAACAGTTTCTGCACAGAATGCATGATGTGGCGGATCCGACCTGGACTCTCACTGCGCTGCTTGGACATTCGTCCTCTGTGAAACTGCAGTGTACTGAAGCCATCGCGCTGCAGGGGCAGGTGCCTCTCAAGCTGATCCAAAAGGCTTGAGGGCAATCGGTTCATCTTAGCTGCTGCTGCAGAGGAAATGGTGGCTGATCCGCTGGTGATCATGGGAGCACCAGTCAGACCCAGACCTAACCCCATACCCATAGACAAGGAGGTGGACAGAGTACCTGTCCTGCCCCCTTGCCCGACTCCACCACCAGGAATGCAGCTTTGGGGGCAATCGAGCTGGTCAGCCTGAGGTGTAAAATGCAGACGAGGGAAAGTGCTGCTGTTGGGAATGGGACCGAAAGGCAGCAGACAGTCAGGGGTTATGGAGGTGGGGCTGGTAGGGGTGTAGTGATGGAGATGTGGGTCCAAAGTGCCATAGTGGTTTACTGTAGGGCTCAATAGAAAGGAGCTGTGGGGATCCGACGTAAGAGGGCACAAAGGCTTCTGAGGGCACCCCGCCGGTTCACATGAGTCAGACAGGTGGCGACTGCGGCTGGCTCCTAACCCTTTCATGGTAACAGATGGATAAAGCTTAGAACATGTCTCCAATCAGTTTGGGTCCACTGACCTGAGTTGGCTTCACCTGCAGTTAGGAAAGATAGAAAACACAACAAAATAAATACGTTATTTGAAGCTTAGATATTTTAGGGTTCAGTGTCAGAGATATACAGAGATATATTAACACAAAACAGTAAAACTTGTGTTAATTTGAGCAATCTATCTATTTTTCAGTTTAACTGTTTGTAGCAGCAATTCTACCTTTATAGTAACTGTAATTAACTATGCACAACAAATAGAGACATTTACTCTTAAAGCTTTTTAGGTGCTTTTTCTTGGATCACCCACTTTTCCTGAAAACTAATTAAGAACAATAAAAGAAACTATAATCTCTGCAGCATGATGTTGTTTGTAGATCTTTTATTGCATTACAAAGACACCAGTCCTCTAAACCAACTATCTACTAAGTGAGGTCTTTTAATAGAGATAACCAGCAGGTGGTGCAATAGTAGCAATTACACAAAAAGTTTGCACACATCATCTAAAATAAATGATTGGTCGTCTATAACTTGTGAAAATCATTCTTAATCTCTAAAGAACTAAAATAGATAAGTGCAGAAGGTAAAAAAAAAATAAGTGTCTCAGTAATATTTATTAAATATTGTTGAATATTAATAATCTTTCCCTTTTTTGAGTTTGTTTCTTTTTAAATCTTAGTTTTAACCATATGCTTCAATTACATGTAATTTTCAGATGAAGAAGCAATCTTCAATTACATCTTATGCTGCGTTCACACCGGGGGCAGCTGGCGCGACAGAAGCAGCGAGTTTACATGCAAAGTCAATGGTTGACGCGCGTCAAGGCGCAGCAAAAGGTCCCGCGGCGCGTTTCGAGCAGCAAGCGCAGCGCGTCTGAGCAGCTGAAGCAGCGCGTCGGGCGCGTTTTGGCATCTGACGCGCGTGACGCGCCGCAAACGCGTTGCTGCTCGAGATGGAAAAATTGAATTTTTGCTGCTCGACGCGCCGCGTCAACCAATCAGAGAAGCTGATCTGGGAGCTGGCTGGGAGAGAGACACAGCGCTGATGACAAAGACTGCTCTGATCACTTCTCTTAAACAGTTTATTAAAGCATAATTAATTTAAAATATATACATCTGCCGGCAGAATATGTTCGCTTTTATTATTCTGGTGCCTGCAGATCGGATTATTTAGATGAAAAACACCTACCAGCCACCGCGGTAAACCGCGAGGAGGCGACCCGACCAGAGGCTGCTGATTAATGGATTCCTTCTGTCGGCGCACCGCCGGTATGTGGGGGTCTGAGCGGCTCCGACAGAAATAACAGTGGGAGGCAGGATTGTAATCTGGATGAACTGACTCCACTGATGAAGTTTTCAGGTGTATTTTCTCACTTAAAAACATATTAAAACTACTTTATTCCCACTGATCACAGCAAATATAGCTGCAAGGCAGAGAAAGGATAGTGAAGCTCCGCCCAACGCGCGTCAGAGCCACTTTTGGAACGCGCAGCGAGAGCAGCAAAGCTGCTTCAGACGCGCGTCAGAATTCACTGGTACAAGCAGCAAAAATGAAGCAGCAGACGCGATTTTGCTGCTTTTGCTGCCCCCGGTGTGAACGCAGCATTATAGATGTGTTGAGCAACAATGATAGGGTTGACTTAAGCATTTATGGCCTTAGAAAAGTCATCCAATGTTCTAAAAACGTCTGAAACTCAAATTTGTTGTTATAATGTTTTTCCCCAAGACTTTAAATAAAGAAATTATTTTGTATGCCCAAGCTCCTGCCCACCAACTCACAGCCTAAGCCCCTACAACCATTCCAATAAAAGTTGCATCCTGCAAAAATAAATAAATAAAACATATGATCTGAAATGTAGAGAAAGACCTAAAAAAAATATCTACCTTTTATGGATCTTACAAGAAGGATGGTTGTTAGACAGACATAATCTCTAAATTTGATATAAACAGATAGTAGAAAATAATTCAGTCCAGGATTGACCAGTATCGTTAACATTTCTCTCAATCTAAGTAGGTCCCACAACCCAAAAAGCCCCAAAATGAATTTCGGATAGAGAGCAGATAATTTAGTTAATTCCCAGGTTGTATTTTTAATCATTGTTCATTGTAGAATAATCCATTTGAGAACTAAATACCCTAAATGTGTGCAACTTTGAACTGAAGATGATGAAATGGAGTCCAAACTTAATAAAACTGTTCAAATTAGCTCCTTAAATAGACATGCAAATAAGCAACCCAGGCAAACCTTTCTTTTGCAATCCCACCACTGCTTTCAACATATTAGTCAAGACATGTGTTTTTGACAACAAAAGAAAGCAATACAGCCACATCTGAGTGTTACTGCACCCACTAACAGCTACAGTACTGCAACCCAATGACATCGTATTTAGTTGGAGGTTTAAAGATGACAGTTAAATACTACAACTGGGAGAAATGTTTTATTATACTTTGAATGATATATTTCATTCAATTCTTAAATATCTAATTTTATCCTTAAAACCTCAGCAATTTGTTTGGATATCCAAAATGAACCTTTTACAGTTCTTTGTTCTGTTCTCTTCGATGTCTGCTCTGAGAGTAATGAAGAAATAAAAGACTTCTTATAGGGTGCAGCAGTCGGTCACTGAAAGAGGTCTCCTATATGTTCAAGTCAATGTTCATTCACATATATGTATATATATATATATATATATATATATATATATATATATATATATATATATATATATATATATATATATATATATATATATATATATATATATATATTAATTTTTTTCTAAAGGATGTACTGGACCAGGAAAAGTTTGGTAGACCTGTGGAACTTTTGCAGTTAAAGAAAGGTGTGAGTCTAATTGAACCTTTTACAGTTCTTTGTTCTGTTCTCTTCAATGTCTGCTCTGAGAGTAATGAAGAAATAAAAGGCTTTTCTAACAAAGTCACATAAAGATTAAATCAAAAAAAGCACGTCAAAACGATTATCAAATAAAATGGCTAAGACTTGGTTACATTTTTCACCCCATTTACCACCCTTTTTTCCTGGGATGCTTATCTTTTTTTTTTGCTTTCAGTCACAATCTGTTTCATTCTGCCACTAAACACATCCAACCAAAACCTGATTTGTTATTCTCAGGAAACAGGATAGCTTATTCAGCTTATTATGGTATAAATTGTTCCTACTAGGCATACAGAGGCTTAGTCTAAAACATCATGATGAGGTATCACACTAACAATGCACAGAACTTTTTATGACTCATACATGGAAATGAGATTAATATTCAAAAGCCGCTATTTGTTCCACAGTAGGAGCAGGAACAGGTTCCTCATTTCTACGAATCTTATTTGGAGTCTTTGCCAGCTTCCTGAATCCACTAACTGCAGCATGATTTTGATTATTTTCTTTTCAACCAAAAGGACAAAGGCATCATTCCTTAGATAAAAGCTTTATACTTTTACTTTCATTTCAGTACTATGGGAGAATATAGGTCTATTTGTTTTAAACTGAATTATTTTCTGTCAGCATGTACTGTTTATTTCAGCCTCCACCTCAGTTGGCACTCCTGGCAAAAAAAGAGTGTTGTATGTATTGGAGATTATAAAATATGGAATCAGAAGTCTAAACCAGCGAGTTGTCCTGATCGGTGATTCCTCAGAATAACTATAAGATGTTATCAATCATTCAATGCAACAAATTGAATAGAAAACCCCTTTATTGTCCCACAATGGAGAAATTGTGGTGTTACAGCAGCAGTAAAATGTTATAGCACAAGTGGTTACACAATGTGGACCTTAGAAAGTGTATAGAAATAACAGAATAAGTGACAAAGTTAAGAAAATAAACAAACAAATACTGTACTGTACAGTGGTTTTACAATATAAATACTGTGCATCTAGAGAATAAAATCCTATATATAGCTGTGGATATTTTTACAGTAGTCGATATGTGAAAAAAAAGGCAGCAACACCAAAAATGACAGCAGCATGTTATTTAACCAAGCCATAAATCAGCATGCATGTGAAAACTTGACGAGGTTGTTGGGAACAGTGACATTATAAAGTTTTACAGAGGAAAGATTTGTGATAAGGCCCCCTGGTGAATTTAGGGTGCAGCATTATGTCACTGAAGGAGGTCTCCAATATATATATATATATATATATATATATATATATATATATATATATATATATATATATATATATATATATATATATATAAGGTCTGCCGGCTTCCGTAGCGTCGGGATCGCGCATGTGCGCGCTTTCAGGAAATCCTATACACTACTGTTTATGCTCTAAAAACATTCTAAATGACTTCGTTTCGAGTAAATTCTGGATGCTACCCACTCAGGACACTTGGAATACATTGGACGAGCAGTATGGAGGAATATTGACACGTTTTTTGTGGACTTTTATGGACCTTTCTGCCTCGGGCACCATAGACCTCCATTATTTGAATGTCAGCAGACAGCAAGAAGCCTCCCAGATCTCCAGATGCATTTGAGATATCAAAAAAGTACTCCACAGTGTTGTTCAGCATGGGGGTGAGTAGAAAATGAAGGCTAATCATGTTTTGGGTGTACTATTCCTTTAAAGAAAGGTGAGAGTCTAATTGCTTTACAAAGTACACACAGCGACTCCTGTTATGCTGTTAGTACTGCAAACTGTGCTAATTATGCCAATTGCTATTTTAAGATCCTACCGACCACTTAGAAAGTAAACTCTGTGAAAAATATTTTGTTAGAAGAAAAAGAACATCCTGTCAGCCTTGAATCAATTTGTCTGTTTTTGCTAAAGACCAACCCTAATTACAAACCTTCACTTTGCAGTTTTCTCGCTTTGCAAATATTTAAACCATGGCACAACAGTTACTTTTTGATTGTAGTTAAGCTCTCGCCGACTGTTCTTTCAAATATGGAATACATTTTTTCCCCTGTATCAAACGTAATCATCTCTTGGACCTCTTGCTGTGTCATATTATATAACGGAGTCATAGAACCACATATGTCTGGTGTTTACTGAGTAAAATCTGATAAATTACTTCAAA